GTTTGGTTTGGATTGAAAATTCACCAGAAGTCTAGACTGTGGCTTCAGAAGTATACTTGGTGTATCCCAGAACAAATGAGTGATGTAAGCCAAACTGTCCTTTTAGATGTTATATCACACTGACAAGTCATGCCAGACAAGGTGAGTTATCTCAGTAATACCCAATTCTAGAAGTGAAAGCACAGCAACTTTCCTATACACTACCTCATCTCAGTTAATTCTTACACACTGAAGGATATACAGAAAGTGACTGAGAGATGAGACTTTGCCCAGGCAGGTTCTGAAAGCCCAGACTTGAGTCTCCTCTCTGTGGATGTCAGTTTCCCATCTCTCTATAGGGAGGTGTGTCTTAGAATTCAGTTGGTCTCCTCTGTCTCCTCTATAGACCAAGGAAGCCTCAAAGTCACAGACATCTACCTGCCTCTGCCTTCTGAGTGCTGGGATCAAAGGCATGGGCCATCATGTCCTACTTCTGACTTGCATGTTTAAAGTGCTTACTGTACAGTGACCCTATGCTAGCATTGAGCATGAGCACTAGACAACAAATCAAACCTCACACTGCTTCCATCTCCCTGGAAGACAGACAGCAAGCAAACTGAAACACACCCAGCTTATATATAGGCTGCAGTATCAGAAGGGCTAAAGATGTTCAGATCAGCTCCGGCCCACAATGACACCAGTGCACTGATACTTCAGCATTGTCATAGCTGCGGTCATGGGGCTCAAGACAATTCTAGAATAAGAGAAGGACTTGGGATGAGGTAAGAATTGACCAAGACTTTTTACAGAGCAGTGATGGCCAGAATGTGTTTTCCTAAAGCATGAATACAGACTTCCAGCTCTGTATGATTCCCAAGGCTAGATGACTAGAACTTGAGACTTGGATATTCTGGTCTAGATCCATTTCTGCTGGGCCCCTGGATTGAGTGTCAAACTTGAAAATTCATTTGTCTACCAGGTAGTATTTTAAAAATGACTGAATGAGTTGTAAGACAGTGAAGAAGATCTGGGTAATTTTGTTGTTGTTGTTTAAACTTGTGTGTGTGTGTGTGTGTGTGTGTGTGTGTGTGTGTGTGTGTTATTTGTGTGATGTGCATATGTTTTTTTGTGAGTGTGAGCATGGGTGTCGTGGTCAGTGGATGGTCTCAGGTATTGCTTCTTACCTTATACCAAGAGACTGGGCCTCTTTGGAATGTATTTTTAGTCTGTATAGGGAGAAGTGTGTGCATGACATTGCTTGCATGTGGAGATCAAAGGAGAATTTTGGGAGTCTATCCTCTCCTTCCAACTTTACACAAGGACCTACATGACAAGAACTTTAAGTCCCTGAACAAAGAAATTGAAGAAGATGTCAGAAAATGGAAAGATCTCCCATGCTCATGGATAGGCAGTGTTAACATAGTAAAAATGGCAATCTTACCAAAAGCAATCAAAGATTCAGTGCAATCCCCATCAAAATACCAACACAAATCTTCACAG